CGAAAAGAATCTGAATACCAAACATTAAAAACGCTGTTCAGAAGTGAATTGTTGCACCATGTAGTCGTCCGGACGAAACGCGCGGAACATTTTATCTTCAAAGCTGAGAGTTCACCGATGCCCCTGCCTTCGCTCTTCGACCCCTCTCCACACGCACAACCACAGCTTTCTCGAATTTTCACGACTCGAGTGTATTCCTCCGACGCGGTTTTCTTTCCTTCTCGGCAGCGACACCTCATGCAGTACAAGGCACGCTTGGAGGAGTGTCTCGCGCAGGCGAAGGTTTTGGCGGGACTGTCAAAAGATGCCTCCAACGAGTCTCTCCTCCCCAAGAGCGCCAGGAGACACATCTTCCCGCGGTATGTATGTAGGGACCAGGGCACGCAAGACACGGGGCTGGTGGGGTCACGTAGAACCGTTTCACCTACAACATTGGGTTGTTTTTTCGGTGTGTGTTGATTTGCTGAAGGAGAACAACATGCGATGGAAAGGGGGAAGGGTATCAAGAGCTTGCACGTTGGTCGTGTTGCTGTTCTTTTATCGTGCTGTTTGTTGGTTTAGCTCTTGTTTCGTTTGCGGCCCCGTTGCCATCAAGGTACACGGAAAAGTGTGCCAAGCTGACGGCACTTCGTGGAAAACCTTGAACGAGGACCACATGTGACCCCGCGACTGTTTTCGTTTGTCGAACACCTGACGCGGGTCGCTGCCGTGTGACTACGAACGTTCCTCCCTCCCTGCCTTTATTTTTCCCTTGTGGTGCTGTCGTTTTGTCCGATTCATTCACCACCGCTCGTTGTGGTGCTCACCCTGCTGGAGCGGAACCTATGTAACATGCACCTTTCGGGCCATTTTTGCCTGTGTTGTTGTGTTGATGTTGTTTGGTTCCAGGTACGCTAGGGTTAACCTCGTGGCGTGTCCAGAAGGAGCTAAAGGCGTGGCGGCGACTCTGCAGAAGGAGGGCTACGCGGCAAAAGTAAGACAGACAATAGTTTTTATTCATTTTAATCCAGATCATGTGATGTCCAAGCCTGCGGTATGATCGCGGTTCCAACTTGCCCCTTCGAGCAAGTAACATAGCTTCATGTGTCACGCATACACACCTACCGGGACCCCCATGTTCAGGTTGACGGCATCGTGCCCAGCCTGCTGGTGCTGCCGCCGGGAACAGACCTGCACGACCACGCCATGGTCAAGGACGGCAGGCTAGTCCTCCAAGGTGTGTAACCCCGTTACGTTGCTGGTGTCAACTAAACGCATCGATTGCCGTCGTCTGGTCATGTGGCTGTACAAGCAACAAAGTGGTTCTGTTCCAACCAGCGTATCGTAGGGGAGGGGCTCGTGCTGAAGATGAGGCATGACCAACCCCTGGGCGGCCAGGTTTGGCCCCGTGCTCTGCGGGGGTCGGGGGCGGTGCCGAGGTGAAACATGGGTTGGGAAAGAGATGCAGGCGTGAGAGTGCCGTGATAGGTAGGCGTGACGTTGTTGTCTGACCCTCTCCTTTGTTGCGGGAGCAATCTGTTCAGCGAGAGCAATCGTCTCAAGGGGACGCTGTTGCCGCCGCCCTCCAAAGTTGTACCGTTTACGAACCCGGGAAACTGGCGGGGTAAGCCGCGGGAAAGTGAAGCATGCAGTGGAACCTGAAGGGCTAGTTCCCGGTGTTGGAAACCAACACACGGCAGGAATCGATTGCCACGGGAGTTAGCCGTTGTCGTCTTTCCGCATCAAGCTTGCGCCGGAACCACAGTAGGTTACCCCCAAAGCGTGTGGGCGGGGCCCCATGCTCTTTCGACTCCAACTGACTTTTTTTTTCTTGTTCGGCTGCAGACAAGAGCTCCTGCTTCTCCGCCGAGGCTCTCCTGGGGCAAGAGGCGTGCGCTGCCGCCGGCGCTACCCGGGAAGCGGGGACGGAATGGAGAGGTGGGGACGTCATCGACGCTTGCGCCGCCCCGGGGAACAAGACAATGCACGCGGCGTCCCTGCTCCACGAGCGGACGAGTGCAGCCGCAGCTGCCTCGGCTGCTTCGTCTGGGAGGGAGTCGGCGGGTGCGGGGAAAGTGGCCGACAGGTTCGTTGATTTGCGTGTGGGCTGGTATCTAATTACGCGGTAGAAGTTGTGCCGATGGTGCAGTGTCTCGTGTTGCACGCCCGCTTGGCCACCTATTAGCCTACCCCCGTCGATGAAAATATTATCAGAGTCCATTCCGAGGAGCGGGGGTTGTGCAACACCGGTCATGCGATATAGCGTCACGTAGAAGTGTCGAGAGAGTACGAGTAGCCTACACCCCCCGTGCCGCAGTGTATCTCGTCGGACGATGCTAACTCGTTCCTCCTCGGTGCATGAACGGGCGGGGTCCGCTTCGAATCCAGGTCGAACACTGGCCAGCGGGCGAAGGTCTTCGCGTTCGACAAGGACCTGCGTCGGCTGTCCCTCATGCGGCGAAGGGTGGACGATTCGGGCGCCTCGGCGGGGGGAGCTATCGAGACACGCCTGCAGGACTTTCTCGAGGTCGATCCCGCCGACAGAAGATACTCGAAGGTCGGTCGGGGCAGCAGGTGGCGCTTCAATCAAGCAATAAGAGAGCCGGAGTGATGATGTACCCTGTTTTCGGAATCAGACGGATGTACCCTAGGATATCCACTTCTCATTGGAAGTCTCCTCTTGCATTTCTCCGGTGTACCTTCTCTCTCTCTATCACACGACTTGCTCCGGGCTATTTGGCAACGGATTTGCTCTGCTGGACGCCCCCGCCCCGAAGCTATCGCTCGTTCGAAAAACCGCCTCGTCATATGATCTGACGTCCTGCCAAATTGATGCTTTGCATGAATATTTTCGATGGAGCGCTGTAGGTCACGACCATCCTGCTGGATCCGTCTTGCTCGGGTTCGGGCATTGTTTCTGCCCCGGACCGTCTCCACGAGAATCAAGGCGACGCCGATGAGGGCGAAGGGGCCCCGGGGGGTGACGGGGAGGAGGGGAGGTCGCGCGTGGCGAGACTGGCGGCGTTTCAGCTACAGGGGCTCCTTAAGGCCATGTCCTTCCCGCAGGTAGGTGTTTTAGTGAGTGCGTTTGTGCGTACGTCGGCGTCTTGTGTGTGGCTAGCATCGATCGCCCTAGTCGACTGACCAATGAAACGACGATTGAGGGGACTGCGTGTGCGAGCTGCGCTTGCGTTGCTGTGTGTCTATTTTGCGGCGGTTCAGCCGTTGTCGTGTGTGACACTCGCTCTCTCTCCCCCCTCTCCCTGTCTATCTGTCTGTCGATCTGCCGGCGTGCCGCACGACCGCTACCTTCCGCCCTTCCATGCATCTGGCGCCTTTCTTATCGTGAAGTGCGACGCGTGTTTTTATTCCGACCCCGCCGGCAACAGCTGCAGCAACAACATTAAACAAATTGCCTCATCGTGTGCCGTGCCCTCCTTTTCCTCCTGTGCATGTACAGGTGCAGCGCGTGTGCTACTCGACGTGCTCCGTGCACGCCGAAGAGAACGAAGACGTCGTCGCCAAGGCCTTGGACCAGCAGCCCACATCTCCCCCCCTCACCACCACTGCCATCGCTTCTGCCTCTGCTGCGGCCTCTTCCAAGCGATTCGAGCTCTCTCGTTGCCTGTCCCGGTGGCCGAGGAGAGGGCTGGCGGTCTCCGGGTTGAACAAGGCCCAGGCGGCGTGCCTGGCGAGGACAGACCCTTTCGAGGACGAGACGAACGGGTTTTTCGTGGCCGTTTTCGAGCGGGGGCTTAGCAGCAACGGCGGCGTCACTAGCAGCGGTGAATTGGGTAGTGGTGTTTCATCTAGGAGTTGTGATGGTAATGGTGCCGGGGGCGATGATGGTGGAGCGGGGGTAAGTGGCAACTCCAACGGAGAACCAGCATCGAAGAAGAAGCGGAACCGTCACAAGAACCGAAAGAAGAACAAAAAGAAGCGGAAGCTAGCGGAGGCAGAAGGAAAGGCACAGTCGGAGGAGGCAGAGCAAAAAGAAGGCGCAGCTGAAGGTTGCGAAGAGGGGAATGGGGAGATAGGAACAGCCACCTCGATAGGGGCGACCAAGGCATGACCTCAGTCCCGAACGTGCCTAAATAGCGGGGGGTGCACTATTTGCGAAAGCGCAGCAAGGGTGGGCGTTAAGCGGCAGATGCTGGATAGTGTCTTTGTGTCGTGAACGTGTTTCACGCCCCCCCCCCTCCCCGGCGCGGTCGAGGTCCTTTTTGTTAATTTGAATGGTTTCCTTTTCGTTGTTGTAGACGAAATTGGCCCTGTGTCGCGATCTAATGCATGAAGAAATGAAGAGCCAGCTTGCGGCCGCAAAGTTCCGAGAAACATGTCGCAGGTCCCGACCGAATGACTCGCTGAGCCAGTTGGTCGACTCGACAACTCGTCGAGCTTGTGCCCCACGAATGGGTCAATCGCTTTGTACACCTGATCTGCCTCCTCCTGGTGTGTCGGGTGTTGGACGGGCGCTGGCCAAAGGACGATCGTTGTATGGTCAATTGATCCCCCTTGTAAGGGAGGTCTACGGCCGGTAGCTCGTGTAGGGGCTGCAGCGAGTTCCGCAAGGAAGCTCCCGACGACCAGTCGAGTATGCGTTTCCTTAAAAAACTCTTTCAAGGAGGAGCTGGCGGACGACATCCTCGTCGTTGACATGGGAAGCGCACTTTTCAAACGTGCAACGTCGACAACGAGGCAAACGCACGCGCCGTTTGCCGAACAGTCGCCCGGCGTAGTTGGTAGCTGAAATACAAGGAGAGGGGGCAGAGTCTCCGTGGAGCCCGCCATCCACAATCCGGACCAGCCGTGAAGGTTGGTCATCCACGGGCCCAACATGCTTCATCCGTCAAGCGACGGCTACAATGTTGATGTAGCCCTTGATGGTGCACAAATATGCGTCAGTGGGACATTCCGCCAACAACACCAAAGGGGTCGTACGAGTTCGTGTGGTAAGAGCGACGTATGCTCTGTCCCTAACCCCCCCCCGTCCTCCATTNTGCACTACTTTTATCCCCCCCCCCCCCCGATCAACCCTCCACCTTCCGTTCTTTACATTGAGGTGTGCCGGATATCGTCGTCAGTGCCTTTGACCATCCTTTGCCAACAAGACTCAAAGACGCACCCCAGCCCCCCGTCCGCCTTGTCCCCGTCGGAACCCGTGGCGCGATATGCCAACAAGGACGGCTCATCTCCGGAGAACGCGGGAATATCCCTTGCCAGCAGGATGACATCGCCGATCTCCGTAATCTCTACGTTGGTCGAGTCCACCAGCGGTGCGGTTGACAAGAACTGCCCAGTTTGTAGGGGGTAGTCCCCGGACGACACGGACTGGCCGCGGAAGGCGCGTGAGGCGTCCGGAGTATCTGACCCCAGGTTCGATGAAGTGACGGACGAATCGCCAAGGCTTCGTGCGAGCGGAGCGCCCTGCATGTGTTGACGGGTGTCGCATCAAACGTTGGGCAGTTGTCGGTGGATTGAATCGGACGATGGATCGGGAAAAGGATGCTCTTGAGAGGTTAGGGCGTCTGGTCTTTGGACTAAAATGGACGGTTGTAGGTGCCACCATGGCAGGCACCATAACGTTACCGTCACGATGATACGGCCACGATCGGAACAGCAACCATCGTGATGGCCACCAACATCGCAACACCATCAAAAAGGGCAGCAACACCATGACAAGAACGTTAACGAAAACCCTTCCCCGCCTCCCCTGACCACCCCCGCCATCACCAAAAAACCAACAAACAACGATTACTCACGTCGAAACCATTCGATTCCTCGCCACCGGCATGTCCTTGGGCGATGATTGCCTCTGTCAAGATAGAAACCCGTTCGTCCAACTCCGACTGGCTTTCCGCATCCAGCGTCCACAACGTTTCGTTCATCGCAAAACACGCACGAAAACACGTCAGAACGGTTGATGGAGATGGAATTTGACCAAATACTAGTATGCAGCGTCCGCACCACGTCACACTGTGGCGGTGCCCGGGATGACAGCGAAGGTAAACAAGACCCTGGTTGCATGCAAGATGAGAGCAGAGTGGACCACGCTATGGTCGTGCAACCTTCGGCGAGATCGTCGGGAGAGGATATGGGAACCAAGTGTGCGCGGGAAGAGTTCTAGTCAACAGCTCCAAGGGGCACACACAATGAAGCACGCCTTCGATCGTTCCATGCCCGTCCAAACAACGGGCATGCAGGAAAGCATGCGTTCACCTGGTTCCGAACAGAGAACATTTCAAGAAGCCGGTGCTTCGCTTTCATGGTAACCGTTGGCATCATCCCTGACTACACTATGAATGGGTGTACTTTTCCACCTTAGACGATGCGAACCTTTGTTATCGTGCACGACAACATATCCATGAGAGCTTTTCTCATGGGAAGGAGCTGCACTCACCTTCGTGTTGGTCTTCCCACGAGGGTCCCTGGTCAAGACGCGGAACATGAACCGTCCGTTGCCGACCTGCCCCACGTCCTGTTCGGAGACTCTAACGACCTCCGAAGACCGGTCCAACGGCTGTTCCTGGGGATGTAGCGGTTCGTTGCCATTGTCATGGTTATCGTCATGTACCCGCTGGAATATGTAAGAAGTGGGATCAAAGTGAAAACGTAGGCTTTCTCGGGAGGGGAGTCGATGGCGGAAATGTGCCGACGTGGGGGCACGACGAGTCACTTTGCGACCCATAAGTGATGATTGCCTTCGTTCGTCCACCGCACAATTAAAAGACGCGTAACGGAAAACAATAGACTGCTGTGTCGACTGGAAAATCCCGTTCATTGACAATATCTTCGTTGCACCGGTAGTTTGGAGAAAGACGAGAGCAATAGGAGAGGCTTCGAATTACTTTCTCTCTTGTTTCATTGCACGACGCATGCCTTGCAGGAGGAGCGTTTTGCGCAACCATCATTAGTGTGCCACAGCTTCAGGACTGAGTCGACGACGAGCGAGACGTCTCCAGGTTGCCACCCTCGGACCATGGTGTTGAAGAGCACCTTTCCCTCCTTGCGAAACTGCATAGCGAGAGTATGGCGCAAGAACGGTAGGGGCGCGACGAGGGGATGTGATGTGAGGGGGGAGTGGATACAACGGTTTCGGCCACCGAGTAGTAGAGGAGCGGCACCACCACATGCGCTCTATATGTGCACACCGAGTTGTCAGACTCCATGCAACGTGTTCGACTCTTGCTCAATCCCGGCAAGTACACGATCAAAAATGAGTTGGCGTTGACTTTGCCCACGCTCCCGCGCCTTCGATGGCACGGCATCTCTCCGTCGACCTCTCCCCGTGGGGTAGCGCGGGAACAGGGATAACACTCACGTGCTGTCATGTCAACCATCGACCGCACATAAGAAGTCATCCGGCGCTAGTTCGCAGATAGAAGCTCCGATGACATCACAGCTGTGGAAACAAGGATCTAAGTATCTGCCGAGAGGAAATGACGCACATGCGACCAGCAAAGATCGTCGGACTATACCAACAATGGGCTACCGTCCGGAGACCTTTCCAAGGGAAGATTCTCAGAATACCGTGACCATTCATGTGCATCTTGGAGACAGGGAGATGGCGGCAAAGGCGCCCCACGCCCCACTCTCTCTCACTCCCCACCTTTTTGAACTAGCAAAGCCGAGACTATCGGCTCCGCTTGGCACTTCCTCGCCGCATATCAAGAGAGACACATACCTGCGCTGGTGAACGGTCAGTCGCTACGTCTGGAACCTCTACTCGTCAGAGAAAAAGGGTGTTCTAGTTGCCGTCGACGAGGAGATTACTCATCACAGAGAAGGGAAGTGTACAACCATCGTTCTATGTCAGGATATCGAACCCCCTGGACCTCAAGACGGCTTAATCCAATAGTCCAGGTGATAAATATCAACCCCCTCGAGACGGGTTCTGTTCCATCCAAGTCGCAGCAGGGAGGCAAATACAGGGGAGTCGGATCTCACCGTTACGCCGTCGGGCGTGGCCTCGTCCGAGGTAGAATCCTCGGAACCGTTGCTGCCGTTGTAGCCGCCGTTGTCATCTTCATCACCGTCTTCATTCTTGTCATAGTCGTCTTCACCATCGTATCTGGTGCCGCCGCCATCGTCGTCCCTCGTCTCTCAGAACCCTTCTGGTGCCGGGTACCCAGTCGTCCCGGCGCTTGGTGTTGGATGCGCCGAACGGCCCCACACCCTGGTGCAGGAAGGGTTCAGCGAAAGGTACAACTGTCACGGGGCCACGTGCAGCGCGTGTTAAGTTGAAAGGTGCGGCGGGCCGGAGCGGTGAAGTCGTGGGTCTTACCGACCGTGCGAGAGAGTCCCGGGGGGAGACGAGAAAATTACGCGGTAAAAGTTCATGTTCCGCGGGAGGGGGGGGGAGCGAGGGGGTAACACCTAAGCAGGATGGGAGCAGTACAGGCTCCAAAATGGCTCAGCACCGAATCAGCCAAGAAACGGCTGCCCGCACCAAATTTCACTAATAGTTAAGTCCAGTCTAGGCAGACATGGAGAGATTGTGCTGATTAACAACCTAATAGGACACACCCCCCGGCACGCCCGGCACCGCTCCCGCCCCACAGCAAATCCAACAAGAGCAACAAGTGGACGGCAGTGCTTACCTGGATAACGGGCTTTCTGTCTGCCCCGTCGTTGGTCGTGGCGGGGTCGGCGGTGGTTGTGGCGGCGGATGAGACATCTTGGGCAAGCGTGTTGGGGGCTCACAGAGTCGGGGCGCAGGGAGATACGTACAGGACGTACCAAGAACATCGGGAAATAAATCAAGAACATCGCGAAATGAATCCGAGTGTCGGAGCACAGCAGAAAAAGACACGACAAAAGAAAGAATGTTGCAAGATTGTGCGCTTTGCGTGCAACGGAGGAAGGAACACACCATGTACATGCCGCTGGTGGGGACTAGCTCACCTCCAGAAGACTTCCCATCGCTTGTTCGCCGTCGCTCTTGCTTTCTTCCCTCGTGTCTCGATGGCGCTTCTCTTGCCTGGTGCTTCTGTAGTCCAAGGTGCAGCCTGTCACTGGGTCAAGGCCGGGAGTGGACGTGCCCTTGTTCCCGTTCTTTTACGCCAGAGGCTTTGGCCCTCCCCCATTTACGGTGCTAGACGACGGCGCGGAAGACACGGCTGCGTCAAAAACGAAACATATGCGGCGAGGGGAATGGTTTGAAACGGGCAGCCAGCGCTAATAGGGGACGATATAAGCGCAAGCTGCCCTTCTCAACCACCCCCTTCGTCGCACCTATTTCGTTTTGGACGCAGCCGTATCGTCCGTGCCGTACTCTAACACCGTAAAAGGCGGCCGGCCAAAGCAGCAAGGGTAGAAAAACGGCAACAAGGGGACGCCCACACCCGACCTTGATCCAGTGGCAAGCTTCACCTTGGACTACACAAGAACCAGGCAAGAACAGCGTCACCGTAACACGAGGGAAGAAAGCAAGAGCAGCACCGAACGCCCACTGAGGAGGGAGATGCAACAGAAGCACCCTACTACAGAATGAACCGAAAACCCCCGGAATGAATATATCACGGTTTGAGGAAGTGTGCGCGTTTAGCAACAGCAACACAAGGAGATGGGGTACTGTTAACGGAGCGCAACGCGCCGTCAATGGGAGTTGGACTGTGCCCATTTTTCGCGCAGGTCTGTTGTATGCGCGGCCGTTCATCATGCCGGCGCCGCCGCCGCCGGTGTTTGTGGGAGCGGCCGTGGGATGTTGCTCCAGCGCGGGGGCTTTTGTAGTCGGGGCGGAAGGAGGCACGTGCAGAACGTACCAACAACATCAGAAAGTTCATCAGAGCATAAGGAGCTGTGCCGTAGAGGACACGACGAAAGTAACAATATGGGGAGATGCACTCTACTCTACATTATTGTGCAGAGTAGGAAGGGTTACCCTACGTACGTGCACGCACCTTGATGAGGACTAGGCTCACCCGAAGCGTTTTTGGGCGTGGCTTGGCGGTGCGATACCAGCACTAGTCTACCCCGCAAAAACATTTCCCCTCCCCGCACCTGTTTCGCTTTGTTAGACGCGTCCGTGTCGGTCGCGCCGATCTCGAGTCTCAAAAACGGCGAGTCGAGGCCTTTTCCCTGCGACAGGCTGACGGACAAGTCCTTGTCAGACCTTGTCAGACCTTGCCCTCGTGGCAAGCACCAGCTTAGCACTGTAGGTATCAGTTCTAAGCTGAGGATTGCCAACAGGGCAATGGCGGAATAAGGACTTCTCCGTCCAGCTCGTGCAGGGAAGCGGCCTCGACACGCCCTCGTTGAAACTTTTCAAGATCGGAGCGAGCGACAAAGATGCGTCCCAAGTCCGAAGCAAAGCAGGTGCTGCGAGGGGGACGTGTTGTACAAGATAGCGCTGATATCTCGAAGCGAAAAACCACGCCTGAGAACGATAGGGGGCGAAACGCTGCAGGTGAGCCTAGCCCGCACCAGGGGCGAGCACTTGGTGTAATCCTTACTGCATTGCGCATGGAGTGTCATCACTGCCCAATTGCGTGGTTTCTCGTGTACTCTATCGTCCTGCTCCCACTCTGATTCATGTTCTTGTGTTTTTGGTAAGTCCTGTGCATGTCTCCGTACGCCCCGACTACAAAGTTCCCCTCGCCCTGGAACAAGATGCCGCGCCAGCCACCACCGCCGGTGCCGCCATGATGCTAGGACTAGAATCAGGCGACGACAACGTCAGCACCGAACAAGGGCAGAAGGCAAGAGCGACACCAAGCGTCCACTCGGAGGGGGATGCAACTGAAATACACATCACTACCACCACCAACAGCAACAGCAGCAACGATAACAACAACAACTTTCAACGACTGCTCACGTCGTCATGATTCGCGTTCTGGCCGCCGGGATCGGTGAGGGTGATGGCCTCTTGCACGAGCGAGACCCATGCGTCTAACGCCGACTGGCTTCCCGCATCCAGCGTTCACTGCATTTCGTGTTCACCGCAAACGACGCACAAGAACACGTTCGTACGGTTGGCGGAGAAGAAACGCGATTAGTTCGACAGACCGTCTACAGCACGACATGGCAGTGTTTGGGGGGGTGGCGAAGGAAACCAAGACCCTGGTTGCATGCGAGGAGAAGGCGACGGCAGCAATTGACGCAGCATGGGGCCACCCTGTCTTGCACACTTGGGGTAAAATATTGAGGAGAAAAGATCGCAACCTACTTCTTAGGACAGATACTGCGCGAAGTGACATATCAGTAAGGCATGCCGTTCATGGTTTCATGCCATACAATGAACGCGGCCGATCAGGGGATACTTGAAGACGGCCAGTGCACCGTCTAAACGGCAAACGTGGTGGTAATTACGCCGATAAGCACACAAACAAATGCATCAACGAGTGGGAACAAATTATCTCCCGACCTTCTCCTGAGGGTGTATCGAAAGCGCAGTGCTTTGTCACCTTGGACGGTGGTTTCACCGTCCACCACAATGTATCAACGGTGAATGAAGTACCCACGAGCAGGAGCTGCAATCACCTTCGTGTGCATCTTCCCGCGAGGAGCCTTGGTCCCGACGCGGAACATGAACCGTTCGCCATCCGCCTTCCTGACAACTTGCTCGGAGAGTGCAACGGCCTCAGAAGACCGGTCCAACAGTTGTTCCTGAGTTGTTGTAGCGGGACATGGTCATTGTCATCGTCGCAATATTCGCGGGAACGCAGGTGAGAGCAGAATCAAAACGTAGGAGTTTCGNGGGGGGGGGGGGGGGGGGGGGGGGGGGGGCACGAGGACAGACGTGAGCCAACGTGTACAACGAATCATTTCGTAATCCATGATCCAACCCTTCCGTTGACAGCGCAAAAAACCCAATGCCCGCTGTTTCGACCGTAACATCTCGTTCCTCGACAGCGTCTTCGTTTCACCGTTAGTTGAGAAAAACGCGAACGCAACAGGAGAGGCTTCGAATTACTTGCTTTCTTTTTTATCGCACGACACATGCCTTACAGGTGGGCTGCTGCTTGAATACACCATTCTTCGTGTGGCACAGTCGCAGGACTGTGCCGGAGCCGAGCGAGAGGTCTCGGGGTTGCCACCCTCTGAAGGTGGTCTTGAGGAGCACCTTTCCCTCCTTGCAAAGCTGAAGCTGTACAGCGAGCGTTTGGCGCAAGAACGGCAGGAGCGCGGCGACGGGGTGCGTTACGAGAGGGGGGGAGTGGATACAATGCTTGTAGACGCAGAGGAGTGCAGGAGCAGTGCCACCTCATGCACTCGACACGAAGATAACATCAGGATCATCTTCCTTCATCCGGATAACGAACCCGCTAGACCCCAAGACGGCTTCATTGAAGTAGTACAGGTACATAATACCACCACCGCCGAGATGGGCCTTGCCTCCACCCAAGATGTAGCAGGGAGGCAAGTACCGCAAAGTCGGATCTCACCTGAACAGCGTCGGGAGTGGCATCGCCCGAGGCAGAATCCTTGGGACCATCGCTGCCGTTGTTGCCGTCGTCGTCACCGCCGTGATCGGTACTGCCATCGTTGTCATCACCATCGTTGCCGCTGCTTTTGCCGCCGCCATCCTCACCAGTGTCACTTCTGACTCTCCGAACGCTCCTGATGGCGTTGACCCAGGCGTCCCGGTCTTTGGTATCCGAAGCACGGAACGACCACACGCCCTGGTGCAGGAAGGAATCGGCAGAAGGTCACGGGGCCACGTGGAACGGGCGATAAGTTGAATGAGGTGTTGAAGCCGTGGAGCTTTCCATAAAAATGCTCGAGAGAGCCCGCCCCAGACGGAGACGAGGAAAATGTGGTTCATTTCTAGCGGGGGGTTGGGGGGTGAGTTCGAGAGAGCGGGCAACGTGGAGTGATGGTCGAAACAGCACTGCGGAGAGCCGAGAGACTGTTCTGAACAAATAACGCGAACGGAACCCCCCNACCCCCCCCCCCCCGGATGCGCACGGCACTGCTCCTGCCGCGAGCGGAAACCAACAAGACGAACAAATACCGACATGAACCAACATCTATTCCGTCGGTCCGAAGTCACGTGCAACGGAAATACAGCTGTATCGTGTTCAGCTGCCCAAAACTTCATGTAACCGCACGTGTTTGATTTGATAAATTGCAGGTATCCTCCTTAGCCCGAATAAACGACAACGATGCTGGGGGAAAATCACTTGAGAGGGTACGACGGGGTGAGGGATAATCGGGATCCTCAGGGAAACAGGGCAGTATTCAAGGTATTCACGCATTCACCGTTTTTTCGGTCGGATGCATGTTTGTGAAACAACTCAAGAGGGTGGAATTCTAGCGTTTCTACGATAAGCAGCATCGAAGACCGTGATTACCTCGCTCACATCGTGCGGTCCAGACATATCGTGCGGAGCAACGCATTCTGTTTTGGACAGTATTATTCTTCCTTTCGGACCGAGAAATAATTCTCCGAGTTCTGAAAATTGGTACAAAGTTGGTACTCGGAGTGGGCGAAAGTAGGCGCTTACACGCACTTCAAGTACGCAGAGGAAGAGAACACATCGAAGCGTCTCGCGGTTCTTTCCATCACTCGTTCGTGTCAAAACCGCAGTGCGCTGCTGCTCACCTTAGGGGTTTTTGCCACGAAGCGGTTGGTGGAACCTTTGTGGGAGGTCGGCTCAACAGACGTACCTCCGACGAG